CAGGACGAGCGCGGGAGGGACGGCGGGACCAGACGTGAGACGGAGGCGTCGGGTCAGGAGACAGAGGAGGGGACAGAAGGGGGGAGCGAGGGGGAAGACGAGCCGAGGACGAGTCTGGCGCAGGAAACACAGGGCCGTAGAGAGGAAGAGGAGGAGACGGAAAGAGAGGAACAGGCGCAGGGTCAGGGGACGGAAGGCCGAGCAGGCGAAGGGCTGACACCGGTGGGGACGGCTGTTGCGACGGCGGAACACCAACATCAGGACCGCAAGCTGCTCCTTGGCTACCTCCGGGACACTCCAACCGGCACCCCCAGAAGGAACACCCCCAGAGCCCGAAACCCCCCGACCACCAGGACCACCCCCAGGGCCACCGGGGCAGGCCACAACAAGAACCCCAGCACTAGCACCCACCCCAACGCGGGCACCCCCAGAGTCAACGAACTGCTGCTGCGGCGGCGGCGGCGATGGCGGCGGGAACGACGGGTGCGGCGGTGACGGCAGCGGAGACGACGGCTGTGACAGCAGGGGTGACGGTGGCTGCAGAGGCGATGGGGGAGGAGACACCGGGGGAGGGATAGACGGCGAGGACTACTGCGCAGGACCACCAGAGTCAGAGGACTCCTCAACCGGGACAACCGACGGGAGAGGGGTGGCGTGGGACACACCAGAGGGGGCAGGACGGGGAGGGGGAAGGGGGGGGGCAGGGACCACCTGGGAAGGAGTGACCAAGAACAGGGGGGGAGTTACGGGGGGTCCGCAGTGGGGGAAGCGACGGTAGAAGGAGACGGACTCGTCAAAGGTGACGTCGCGAGAGTGAAAGAACCGGTGAGACGGCGGGTGGTAAAAGTGCCAGTCGGGCGCGTCAAGGGGGAAACCTAGGAAGACACAGGAAAGAGTGCGGGCAGTAAGCTTGTCTGTGCCAGAGGCACGAACGGGGGCAAGGCAGCCCCAGACGTGGAACGCAGACGCGTCACCAAGAGACCCGGTCCAAAGAAGGGTCGGCGAAACCTGCGGCCGCTGGGGGTGCGGCCACAGGTTAAGCTGGTGAGCCGCGTAGCGCACGGTGAACGGCCACAGAAAATGGGGTGCACCGGCATGGATCATGGAGGTGCGAGCCACCTCCATGACCAAACCGATGCGTCGCTGAGCGACCCCATTCTGCTGCGGGGAGTCCGGTAGGGTGAACGTCTGGGTGATGCCCTCCGCACGACAAAAGCGACCAAGGACACCTGAGGCAAACTCGCCACCACGGTCGGAGTGAAGACGCAAGACAGGGAGACCTCGGTGGACACGGGCAGAGACAAGCCAGGGGATGAGAGCGTCAGGCACGTTGGCCTTCCGCTCCAGGGGAAAGACTGTGGTGTAGCGAGTAAAGTCGTCGACAAGCATGAGGAAGTAGCGCTCTCGACGCGGCCCATGGACGGGGGCGGGGCCCTAGACGTCCATGTGCAAGGTCTGCAGCGGGGCGGCGGTAGGGTGAAACGAGGAGTGAGGGGCACGGCGAAGCCGACCCTCGACACAAGGCGTGCAAGGAGGGGCGGGGGAGGAGGGAAAAGTGGGGAACGAGCCAGGGAGACCAAGGACAAGACCGTGCTGGGTCATGTGACGCAAACGCGGGAGCGCAGGGTGACCTAGGCGGTGGTGCCGAAGGAGAGTCGGGTGAGTGAGCAACCGACAGGAGCAGGCAGCAGCCACCGGGGTAGACGCATCCACCTGAAGGGGCGTCCCAGCCGGGGGGGTCACGGTGTCCAGTGTGAACAGGCCAGACACCGGGTCCCGGGGGAACATGGACAGGGGGGCACCAGTGGAGGCCTCGGTACAGACAGCATACCGCTCGTGACCAGGGAACGTAGTGGGGACGCCAAGGTCCTGGAGACAGCCGACACCAACTAGGTTCCTGGAAAACGAGGGGATATGCAGACCTGTGCCGGACATGGAAAGGTGGTGGAACTGCGGGCGACAACTGGACCGCCGGAGGGGTCAGCAAGAGAAACTGAAGTAGGAACAGGAAGCGGCGTCAGCGTAGTAGAGTCGCGGAAGAAGCACCGGGAAGCGCCTGAGTCCAAGGTGAAGGAAAGAGAAGCAGTGGCGGCTGGCGACGGGGCAACGGCGGAAGCACCAAGGCTAAACAAAGCAGGAGCTCCTACGCCTAACGCAGAAGGGGAGGCTAAGCTAGGCACACCTACACTAGGCGACAAGGAGTAATAAGAGGGGAGCACACTAGAGTCATCAGCATACATCACATGCAGGACAGAAACAATGGCATCCATGTCCAAGTCAAAAATCTGAACTCTACGACTAAGCAAGCTGTGCCAGTCCGGGAGGTCGGGCGACGGGCCGAAGCGCTGACGAAACAGGTCGTCCAGGCGGCGAAAACAACGGGCAGTGGTGTGGCCGATCTTACCGCAAACGAAGCCGCGGCGAGGACCGGTCTGGATCTGGTACTGACAGCGCACGCCTCCCGAACCGCCACCCGGCACACCACCACGCGCACGACCACCACCAGCGCCAGGCCTCCCGGGCTGGAGGGCACTCGCCTGCCTCGTCTACTACGGCTGCTACGACTGTTGCGGCTGCTGCGTCTACAGAGGCTGCTGCTGCTGCTGGTGCTGCTGCGGCTGCTGGGGCGGCTGCTCAGCTGGACCTGGCAGGGTCTTCTTGTCCACTCCACCACCAGACGACCCGACTCCACCACCACCTCCACTTGCACCCCCACCCCCGCCGCCGTGCCCAGCCTTGGGGCGGCGGCCCTTCCCCGGACGGAACTGCGCTGCAGCGGCGGTCTCAGCCACAGCAGCAGAACCTTCAGAGAAGGTGCACTGAGCGGGGGCACAACCCTGAAAGATAGGGACCGGCACAGTACCGCTCGCCTGAGCGATAGAGCGGTGGCGGGTCTCAATAACAGTAAGGGTGTCTACAAAGTCTGTGAGGGTGAGGTCACCGTGGTGAACGCTAAGGACGCGGTCACTAGCAGCGGCAAGGCGGTCAGGGAGGCGGGTGGCAAGCAGGTAGAGGGTAGGGGTAAAGGGCGGCTGGTGGGCTCTAAGCTGTGCGTCAGTGCATGCAGCGCGCCAGGTCTCATCTATCGTGCGCAGATGGGCAGCCATGTCAGCGACGGTGGGGAAAGACGCAAGGTCAAGAAAGAGCATCGGTAGGATCAGGCGACCCACCGAGGCAGCAGGCGGGGCGGAATAGCGACGGATAACAGCATCTAAGAAATCCTGGGCGGTGGTGATAGACCTAAAGCGAGGACGCTCAGATGGGGGGAGGGCATTGCTAATGGCAAGCTAGGCGACAGCGTCACGGGAAAGCCAGACAGAGCGAGCGAGGGCAGCGGCCGCAGTAGACTCGCGCTCAGCAGGTGTGGGGTTAGCGGGCAGCACAGCAGGGGGGTCTGGGCAGGGAAGCGTACCGTCAAGATGTGCCGAGAGCGGGTGGCCATCCTGCCGCTGACCAGTGAGGTGGCGGCGGAGGTCAGCTAGCCAGGCCTCAAACTCCAGAGGTTGGCCTTCAGCGTCGAAGCGAAGCTCCGCCGCCATCAAGAACAGTGCAGGGCAGTACAGTGCAGTGCAGGGCGGTACAGTGTGTTGCAGCACGGTACAGTGCGGCGCAGCACAGTACAGTGCGGTACAGTGCGGTGCAGTGCAGTGTCAGGTGATGAAGAACCATACCACGAAGGGTGCAGTGCAGGAGCAGGCACGAAGAGCAGGCCGCACGCAGATTGGCTACAGTCTGGCGGGAAGGCGAGCAGAGGCCGGAAATCGACGGGCAGGGCGCGCGCAGGGGTCGGCAGGACGAGCGCGGAGGCCAGTAGCGGCGGGCGCCGTGCCGGCGGGGACGGGCACGGGGGCCTGAAGGGACGGGCGCGGGGGCCAGCTAGGACGGGCGCGGGGGCCTGAAGGACGGGCGCGGGAGCCGCTAGGACGGGCGCAGGGGCCTGAAGGACGGGCGCGGGGGCCGGCTAGGACGGGCACGGGGCCGGCAAGGACAGGCTCGCGGGCCACCAGGACGGGCGCGGGGCTGACTAGGACGGGCGCGGGGGCCGGCTAGGACGGGCGCGGCGGGCGCAGCTAGAACGAGCGCGCGGGCGCGGCCAGGACGAGCACGGGGGCGACCAAGGCCTAGGGCGGAAGCATGGGCGGACAGCGGGACCTACCTACTGCTGATACCATCTTAGAACTGAGAGAATTGAATGACTAGTGAGTGAGAGTACAAGTGGATATACCTAAGTGTTGTACCCTCTAAGAGGCAGCCCTATACAGTCTATACAAACATTAGAGATACACATGTTTGACAGAAACGTCTGGCTTCAATTCGGCGTGGTAAGCGCATGTTCAGGCATAAAATAGAAAAGCGAATGGAATGCATGCGGCTCAGGAGAGCCACATTTGGGAGACGCGGTTTGATTTTCGTGGCAGAGCTTCGCAGCAACCCCGTTGTGGCAGTGTAGTGTACTCTTTACTGGCTAGAACCCAGGATAAAAAGTTATTTCCTTACACCTATATGTTCATAATTCTGTATTCGTTTTCGGTGTAGAACCCTCGTATTGTCATTGTAGAATCTGCAGCCGGTGTCACGTGCCCAAATGCGTGTCAACCTGTGCAAACAGGTCATGGCTGCTGTATCTTCAAATTTCCACGTCGGATTTCTCCCCTGTGCTATCGCACATGGACAGCACGATCAACATGGTGTCATCGAGAAGAAACGCGGTTGGGTACACAATGCACATGCAACCCTAAAATGAAAACCTCCACCACGGGGTAGTGATTGTGCGACATGTGACGGACGGCCAATCCGCATGGAAGATGGAAGCAAGGGGAGGGAGGAGGGAAGGAAGGGTGCAAATTCAAAGCCCCCCTCCCCTCACACCCATCCCTCTACAGTACACTAGTCTCGGAGTCGCGCTTCCACCAAGCTGCTCCTGGCTTGCCGAATTCCCCCACTTTGCTGGTGCACCACCATGGCCCCAATTTTTCGACACACGGTACATAGCCTTACAACGGCAAGCGTATAGCCACAACCTAATCTTCCACCTCCATTCCCGTTAGTCCCTAAAATAAAACAGTTACGGCATTGGCCACAGACAGCTTCGTGACCTTGCCTTTCTACGCTCCTGACAGTCGTCGAAGGAATTGCTAGTGAGAGTAATCTTCATCTCCCTGAATTCTCCGTCATAACGACTTGAACCTACGAAGCCGCCAGTTCCAGTGTTTTAAAGAAAGGCTCGTCAACGTCGCTGAGGCATTGCTCAAGAAGAAACGGGTCTTCACGTTAGTGTCACATCGCCGCCGCATCTCTCCAGGATCGACAGTGCTACTAATAACGTATTAGTAGCCGCATCGACCAGCTTGCAGCAGCTCGCCCCCATGGCGTGGACTGCTACGTGCGGCAGCGCGTCAACCACGCTTCGATCCTCCTTTCCCACCGGCCGCCGCCTCTCCGCTCCCCGCGAACGCCCTGTCACGTTTGTCCCCGTGCGCCTCTCCCCGCTGTGCGGTACCCTCGTAGGGGAAAAAAGAGAAGTCCCCGTCGCCCGCCCCGCCCGCCCCATCTCCCCTCGTCAGCTTGTGGGCGCATCTGCGTGCATTGCGGTGGGAAGGGGTAATGGCGCGGGGGAATTGAGCGGAGTGCGGGAGCGGGAACGGGAGGAGCGGCGCGCGGTGGACCGGTCGGAGCGGCTGATGGAGAGCCCGTACGCGCCCGTGGAATCTTCCATGACGCCATGCGTACGTCGCGACCTAGGCTGATGCTCACACACGCACCCGCACACGCGCCCACACTCACACACACCGTGGTGCTCTCCTCACTGAAAATAATTATTTACTTCAGTGAGCTCATCGGCCTTGTGGCTGCCCTTCCCCGCCACCACCGCCATGCGCCGCATGGCCACAACGAACGCTGTGCAGTCCTGCTAGAACGCGCTCCGTGATGCCATCGGGCCTGTCGTCGCTATCGCCTCATGCCTCATGCCTCACAAGGAACCCCCCCTCCCTCCCCCCCCCCCCCCTGGAAATCTCCGCAGAACGCCCTTCTCCCCCACCTTTAATTTTCCTATTTTCTTCTTCTGTGCCCGTTTCTTCTTCCTCCTGGTGCTACCCGCAGCCCGTCACCACTCTCGCCAACGCCCTACTGGCGGACATTGTCGGGCACTTCGAACATTTCACGGGGCTGCCCGTGGTGGACGGCGAGGGGCACTGCGTGGGCATTGTGTCGGAGATGGACGTGGCTCGGCGCCAGCAGGGCGCGCGGGCAACAAGCGCAGCGCAAGTCACTGTGGGGTGAGAAAGCAGATCTGCCACTTTCGTTGTGGGGGGGTTAGGGGCTATGGGCTGACCCACTCGGTTTATGGCATGGGAGATCGGGGAGAGGAGGATCACCAGGCGTTCCTCTGAGTTGAGGGTTTCCTTTGTTTGCGGATGTGCGAGAACAGGGGAGTAGAGAACCAGGCCGCGGTGCGTTCGAGATGGGGCTGTGTCTGACTTCAGCATTGTGTTGTGTTGCCGTTGTGTTGCTCTTGCTGCGCCAGGGACGTCATGACTGCGCCAGCCATTGTGATCGTCCAGCACGCACCTGTGGCCTACGCAGCCGGCCTCATGCAAAAACACAAGGTAACCCACATCTCTCGCAGCATAGATAGAAATCCCCAGTTATTGTCTGCCCTCTTTCGTCGTATTACGCCCGTACCCTATCACCCAAAGCATGTCCCACTCTCTTCAACCTCTCTCCCCATTGTTGCCGATCGTGCACTGTGTGCAGCTGCACCGGGTGCCAGTGGTGGACGACCATGGCGTGGTGGTGGGCATTATCACGCGCACCGACATCTACGAGCCCATGCTGCCGCCCGTCAACGCCCTGCTGCACCACGCCACTGGCTTCAACCCCAATGACTTCCCCAATTTCTAGGGAGAGGCATTAAACGATGGTGACAGGAGTTGACTGGTGTGGTGGTGGTATTAGGTTTGAGCAGAGCCGCATTTAGTCTCAGCGATTCAATTGTTGCAAGGCAAGGCGGCTGGTGCCAGGTTGTTTACCTTGGTCTTCTTGTATGTTCACATTTGTATATATGTGCATAATGTACATTTCTCACGTCAACCACTGTAGCATCGATCAAATGCATGCATGCCATTTGTCAAGAAAACGTGTGTGTTAGCTGCTGGTATGTTTAGACCATCACCAATATTGAATTGACACGAAACTGGGCTTATGCCCATCTTTCCATTTTTACGATCAAATTGCCCATAACACCGCGAGGTTCGCCTGGTTGCTCAAATTCGCCTCGTCCACTCCAGTTTTCTTCGCTGGCCCTCCCCTGCACTCCTTTCTCCCTCTCACCACCACCACTCTCCCCTTCGGCCTCTTCCACCCGCTCTCTTTTCTCCTCTAGTCTCCGCAAATCGCGCTAGTCAATAGGCACCGCATCATGGACGAAGCGAATGGTACCGGCGATGGCAGCGCGCCGATCGAGTCGCTGGCGTGTCTCCGCTGCAGCAAGCCCGCGCGCCTGCAGTGAGTTTGCCCTGTCGAACAGGGCGATAAGTTTTCCGCCACGATTCCAACGATCCGTTTACCAGCCCTAAGAGTAGCCGTTATTTTCCCTCGCTTCCTTAAATGCCCCTTGGCATCCCTTTCCCAAACCATCCGCCATCCAGCAGCTCCAACCCCTCCCCCCCTCGGTCCCGCTGACCCCTCCGTTGACCTCGCCTTTCCTCAACGCGCCGCTCCCTTATGCGCGTTTCCCCGTGCGCCGTTCCGCCAGGTGCCCCAAGTGCCTGGAGCTGAAGCTGCCGCGCACCAACGCCTCTTTCTGGTACGCTGGGGGGCGGGGCGGTGGGGGAACAGGGGGAGGCTGGGGGAAAAGTTCAGGCTGGGAGCTGGGAAGCGATGGGCGCGGGACGAGGGGGCGTAAGGGAACGTGGGTTGGGGAGGAGCGGGGGCGGGGGCGGGGGTTTGGGTGGTGGAATTCGAAGGCGTGGACGAGGGGAGGAGAGTGACTGTCGACGTGGCGCATTTGAGTGGACTCGGCACTCACGCCAAGCTGACGCGGATGAGGGGCGCGGGACGTGGGAGAGAGCGAGAGCGTGTAGGGAGAGAGCTGGCGGGAGAGAGATATATCCTTTCCGCTTGTATCCCCCAAGCGCACATGACCTCCTGCGCGCACACGTCGACACATATTTATACCTTTGGCGTGGAGCCGGAGGCACTGCTCTGCGTCTGCCGCGTGCTTTCCCCCCCTACCCTGCCCGACGCATGCTGCTACTGCTGCACCTTGCCGCCGCCAGGTTTCAGGGTTTTATTCCGTCCTCCCCTTTTTCTTTCCCCTCCCCCCTCCGCCCGCTGCCCTCTCTTCCACGGCTCTCCCCCCGCTTGTCCCCCCTAGTTCGCAGGAGTGCTTCAAAGCATCGTGGGCGGACCACAAGGCGCTGCACAAGGTGCAGCCCGCGGCGGAAGGCGCGGGCGCGGGCGCGCTGGTAGCAGGGGGCGCGGGGAAGGGCGCGGGGGGCGCGGCGGAGGACGAGGTGGCGCGCTACCTGCAGCAGGGGTGGCTGTACGTGCTGCGCAAGGGGCAGACGCGCGCTGGCAAGATGCCGCCCTTCGACTGGACGGGGTGAGCGCAGCGCTACGCATGTCTGAGTCGTCTGGTTGTCCAGACTCGCTGCTAAGAGCCCTTCGCTTTGCCTCATGGAGCCTTGGCCTTTACCTTAGGTTCATGGGGCGGTGGCCCGTAGCCTTGGTTGAGGGGGTGGTGGCTGGATGGGGTTCGTGGTGGGGCTAGTGGGGGAGGACAGCGGGGTTTGGAGGAAAGGGCGAAGGGCGAAGGGCGAAGGGGGTATGGGGAAGGAGGGGAAGCGGAGGGGAGGGGGGAGTGAAAAAGAGCCTTCTCCCGTGCTCTTCCACCATGCCACCATGCCACACCCCACCGCACTCTACCGCACCCCACCACACCATTCTATCTCACCAGCACTCCCACCCTGTCCAATCCAGGCTCGTTCACCAGGACCCTTCTCTTCCCTCCCCTCGCCTCACTTCAACTCTGCAGTCGCGTCCGCCCTTCCACTCAGCCTCCTCCCTCATCCCCCCGTTCCCAATCACTCAACCCCCCTTCGCCCCCTCTTTCCCCCCCGCCCCCCCATCATTGCCAGTCCTCTGCGCCCCTTCCCGGTGGCGCCGCGCTGCCCCGTGCCCGCCCACATTCCCCGGCCTGACTGGGCCGACACTGTGAGTGCTGCCCATGCCCATGCCCATGCCCATGCCCACGCCCATGCCCACGCCCATGCCCACGCCCATGCCCACGCCCACGCCCATGCCCACGCCCATGCCCATGCCCACGCCCATGCCCATGCCCATGCCCATGCCCATGCCCATGCCCATGCCCATGCCCATGCCCCCACCACGCACGGCAGTGCAAGGGTTTGTTTTGCATTGTGGGAGCCAAGTGGAATAGTGCCCCTGCCTGTGGCTTGTGCTGTCGCATTGTAGGGGTCTATGCTATATGGCAGGGAGGGAGCTGTCAGCGTGCGTTCCGCCAGTGGGCTGAGCAGCCTTGCTGTGGGTCTAGCCTCGCACAGCAGCTGCCTCACCTGTTGCCCGTCTCTCCGCGCTGCTCCCATCCAGCGCTGCTCCCATGTCTTTCTGTCTCTCGCTTAGCCCCACGTGGTCTTTCTCACCCGCTTCCCCACACACACGCTCTCTCTTCCTCTCTTGACCTCTCTCCCCTCCCTCCCTCTCCTCCCTCCCCTCCCTCTCTCCCTCCCTCTCTCCCCCGCGCGCCGCGCTCTCACACGTCTCAGGGTCGGCCAGAGGAGGAGCCCAGCAGCCAGTGGCAGAACAGCGTGGAGGTGAGTGCGCGCTCTCCCCCCGCTCCCCATGCCGTGCACATGCTCACTCCGCTTGCTTGTCCCGTGTTGTCCCCGATGCCTCACCCCGCCTGCTGGCCCCTCTCCTCTCTCACTACTCTTGCCACCAGTCATACCACCATTCCGCTTCCCCGCTTGTAGTCCACTCCGCCTCTCTTGGTAGTCCTCTTGACCCTCCCACTTAATGCTACCCTGTACCCACTCAGCCGTCGCCCGCACGCCTCTTTATCCACCAGCTTCCCCTTTCCATGGCACCCTGTGTGAGCAGATCAAGTCGCCGGAGCAAATAGCACGAATGCGACGAACATGCCGGGTATGTCCAGTGTTGAGAGCTCAAAAGCAGGGTATATCGAGTTTGGAGAGGTCGCAAGCAGGTATGTCCGTTCACCTCGGAAACACCCTTTCTCTCTCTACCTCACTACACACACGCACGCACACCCCCCGCACCCACACCCACACCCACACCCATACCAACCCCCTTCCCCACCCCCACCCCCTAACGGTAATGGCACCCCATGCCGTTACCGTTACCACCGATCTGTCACACCGAGAGCTTGCACTGCTTGCTTGTTGCTCGCTTGAGCTACAAAAAAGACCGCCTTGTGCCCGAACCCATGCACATTCCCACCACTTCTCCCTGTGCTCACTCCCCTCAACCCCCCCACCCCCCCACCCCCCTCAACCCCCTCGCCCCCCTGTGTGCGCGGCACGGCGAGCAGGTGGCGCGCGAGGTGCTGGACGTGGCAGCAGCGATGATCCGCCCGGGAGTGACCACGGACGAGATCGATAAAGCTGTGCATGATGCTACTATCAAGGCTGGTGGGACATGGCCTGGTTTTGTTTGGCTCGGTTAGAAGTGATCGACAGGGCTGTGTGCGTGACACTGCTATCAAGGCTGGTGGGCAGGGGTGCTGGGGGTGGATGACGTGGCATGACGTGGCACAGCAGGGCACACAGGATGTGCATGGATGTGCGAAGCATGCATGATGCATGGTGACATGTCTACCTCATTTTGGTGCGCGATAGGGCAGCAATGCAGGATAGCAGGGAGGGGGGTAGGGGTGAGCGCTCTGGGTTAGGGAGAAATGGCAAGGGGAGCGCTGCTGCAAGGATGCTACTGGTACACAAGGTTCAAAAATACGGTTTTCGAAAAATACGGTCCGTATTATTCGGCCGTTTTTTTCGGGGATTTTTGGAAAAAAAACGCCGTTTTTTAAATAGAGCATCTTTTTTTTCTTTTCTTTTTTTTTGCTAGACAGCCTAATCGTCCGCCAGATCCGCGCCATTCGTCCGCCCAAATGCAAGATCCGCGCATTTCGACGGGCGAAATGTCAGATCTGCGTATTTCGGCTGACAAAACGTCAGATCCATACATTTCGTCCACAAAAAACGCAAGATCTGGCACATTTTGGTGGGAAAAATGCCAGATCCGTGCATTTGGGCGGGCGAAATGCCAGATCCGCGCATTTCGTCGGATTGTTTTGCACTTTTTTTAATATTTCGGCCGTTTTTTTTAACCAACCTATTTTTGCACAAATTTCACCGTTTTTTTCGTATTTAACGGCCGTTTTATTCGATGCCGTTTAATACGGTATTTTTTTTAAAAAAAACGGCGTTTTTTTTAACCCTTCTGGTACATGCATAGCCGTCTTACTCGTTGCTATTGGTCTGAGTCGACTAAATTGTTTACATCCGTCCCTCCACCGTGTGGCCACTGCCCATGTGCCGTGGTGTGCAGGCGGGTACCCATCACCCCTCAACTACTACTTCTTTCCCAAGTCCTGCTGCACGTACGTCCCCCCTGGGCCACGCACGCGAGTGCACGTGTGTATGATTGAGAGAAGGGGGTTGGAGGGAGGGGAGGGAGGGAGGGAGGGGGGTCGAGGATAGGATGGAGGTGCAGAGAGAGTGAGAGAGAGTGTGCGGAAGGGAAGGGAGAAGAGGGGAGGAGAGGGCGGGAGTGGGGAGGAGAGGGGACATAGAGCGTGTGTTGTGGAAGTATGCAGGAGCGCAGAAGCAAGCAGAACGCGTGGAGATGGCAAGCGCTGCACGCATGCAGCCATGCGCCCATGAGGGGCATCCATCCGCCCATGCACGGGTGGGTGCGCCCCTCAGCGCGTGGCATTGCATTGCATGGCAGCTAGAGCCCGCCTCCACCACCACCACCAGGTCAGCTGTCCTTCCTGCGCCAACTCAGAGCGCGCCACCCTTCAGAGCGCTGTTCCTGTCACGCCCGACATACCTGCTCGCACCAAGCTGTCCCTCCACCCCGCTCACACACACACGTTCCTCCATGCTCTGAAACGACCCCCCCCCCCTCCCTCCCGTCTTTCTGTGGTGGCGTTGAGCAGGTCCGTGAATGAAGTGGTGTGCCATGGCATTCCAGACTGCAGGCAAGCCCATGCCATGCCATGCCATGCCATGCCATGCCACGTTATGCCATGCCATGCTATGCCATGCGATGCGACGTTATGCCATGCCATTCCATGCCATGCCATGCTGTACGATGCCGTCCCATATGGTGCTGCCATGGCCTGCCTTTGTGACTATTTCCGATCCACTCAGTGTCTGACATTCCCACTCCTCACCATGCCATGCCATGCCATGCCATTCTCAACCGCTCTCGTCCGGCGTGATGTGAGCAGACGGCTTGAGGATGGCGACATTGTGAACGTGGACGTCACTGTCTACCTCGATGGCTGCCATGGTATCCTACCCCGCCTCACCTGCCTCCTGCTGCCCGCGTCCCCTACCACTCTCGTACCATGTCTTCTTGCCTTAACCCACCCGTTCATTCTCATGCTTCTCTCGCCCTCCCTCTCTCGCCCTCGCTCCCTCGCCCTCCCTCTCTCGCCCTCCCTCTCTCGACCTCCCTCTCTCGCCCTCCCTCTCTCGCCCTCCCTCTCTCGCCCTCGCTCCCTCGCCCTCCCTCGCTCTCCCTTGCTCAATCTGAATCATGTGCACTGTGTGCTGTGCATGGAGCATGGGACGTAGGGCGTGGGGCATGGGTGCGTGGGGCGTGGGTGCGTGGGGCATGGGTGCGTGCGGCATGGGTGCGTGGGGCATGGGTGCGTGGGGCGTGGGTGCGTGGGGCATGGGTGCGTGCGGCATGGGTGCGTGGGGCATGGGTGCGTGGGGTGTGGGGTGGCAGGCGATCTGAACGAGACGTTCTTTGTGGGCAAGGTGAGCGAGGCGGTGGTTCACCTCGTGCGCACCACCATGGAGTGCCTCGACAAGGCCATCGCCATGGGTACACAACGCCTCACACCCCCTCTTTTGTTTCGCTCGGGGCTTTTTGTTCGCTCTCTCTCTCCCCCCATCCCCCTCCGTGCACTCATGCATGAGCACCTTCTTACTCTCGTGCTTGCACACGCATCTAACCCAGCAACCCCCACATTTCCGTGTCTTGAGTCACTGCTAGCTCATCCTCCCTCTGTACTCCCATCCCTCGTTCCTCCTACCTCTGTGTGTGCCTCCTGTCCTTCACCCACCGACTCTCCCGTCCTTTGTCTTCTGCGTTTCCCTCCCTTCTCCCATTCTCTCCGCCTGTCCCATATCCTCCCACTTCTCTTGCATAACTCCATGCCACTCCATCCCCCCCCCCCCCCACCCTGCAGTGAAGCCGGGGGTTCGGTTCCGGGAGGTGGGGGAGGTGATCAGCCGCCATGCTGCTCAAGCTGGCCTCTCCGTGGTCAGTGCTGCTGCTGCTGCTGATTAGACTGGAACTAAGTGCACTATACCGTTGCGTAATAGCTGCAACACGGCCACAGTGGAATCGCAGTGCGTGTTGTGTACGTCGGCACGCAACGGCACGCATACATGTGCATGTACGAGTGGCCACACCCACACACACAGACATTGCCACACACGCCCACACCCACCCACACCCACGCCCACTCTTCTTGCCTGCCCGCGCTTGCTTATTTCCTCTCAACTCGCCTTTCCATGTAATCCTTATGCCGAAGCCGTGCTTCAGAGCTTGTTTTTGAGGCGCCTAAAAAATAGACTCCTTATGCCGAAGCCGTGCTTCAGAGCTTGTTTTTGAGGCGCCTCAAAAATAGACTTCTTATGCCGAAGCCGTGCTTCAGAGCTTGTTTTTGAGGCGCCTCAAAAATAGACTCCTTATGCCGAAGCCGTGCTTCAGAGCTTGTTTTTGAGGCGCCTCAAAAATAGACTCCTTATGCCGAAGCCGTGCTTCAGTGCTTGCGCAGAATCGCTCACAAGGGAAGGCATCGCCCACAGCTGCACCGTACCCCCGGTTGAAGCAACTCTCATCGTTCTTTGTGTCTCTCATTGCCTTCAGGTGCGCACCTATTGTGGTCACGGGATAGGAGAGCTGTTTCACTGCGCGCCCAACATTCCCCACTATTCCAGTAAGCTATGCCCCACTGCAAGCCAAGCACCAATGCCACCTCTCCCTTTCAACACTCCATGCTGCCCTCTGCGCCATGCCATGCCGGAGTTGTTGGACTGGGAAATACATGTGAGCGTGTGGACATGTGGGCATGTGGGCATGTGGGCATGTGGCTACAATCTCACCGCGGATTGCGTTCACAATCTCGCCACTCCACTGTCATTCTGCTGTTTCTCAATTTCACCATACGTTGCCCAAACGTTTTTGCTGTGTGCTATGTGTGCATGGGTGTGCAATGTGTGCATGGCTGTGACATGGATGTCCAATGTGTGCTTGGATATGCTACGTGTGTGCATGCATGTGCTATGTGGGCGCTTGCTTGGCTGTATGCGCATGCATTGCAATGTGTGCGTGCAGAGAACAAGGCGGTGGGCCTCATGAAGGCGGGCCAGATCTTCACAATTGAGCCCATGATTAACGCTGGTAGGTGCACTCTCTGTACAGGAGGCTGCATGACCGCACTCTCTCGTACCTCTCTGTCAGCATTGCAACCTTTTTTCCCTCCCTCCTTTTTTCACTCGCTCCCTCCCTCCCACCCACACTCGTCTCTCCCTCTTTCTCCGGGCCCCGGCCTGGACTTTTAGGTGGATGGAAGGATCGCATGTGGCCTGATGGATGGACAGCAGTTACAGCTGATGGCTCACCAAGTGCACAGTTTGAGCACACCATGTTGGTACGCATGCCTTATGGAACTTGCATGCTGAGCTATGATGAAGTGCATGCAGAAATGCTTCGCGTATTCACTTTCTGGCTTCCACAGTGCCATTCTGCGGAGATATATATATATATATATATACATATATATATATATGTATGTATATACATATATATATATTTTCTCATAATCTTCTTATCTGCTCGTGTCTTCCTTAGCAGGAAGTCTTCACCCTAGTTCCCTTACCTCAACCTAATTCCTCCCCACCATTTTGGCCAATGTTCCAGGTCACAGAAACAGGGTGTGAGGTACTTACAGCCCGTCTGCCTTCATCACCTAAAGTTTTTCCATGGTTATCATAGTTACTGATGAGGCAGTTGGTACTCGGCTATTATTGTCCATGTTGATGTGTTTTTTGATTCTGCTTTTACCTGGACTTCAGGTATTCATCAGATTCAGACTTTACTGGTCCCCATTTACAGTCTGTTGCACAGACCCTTTGTTTTATCTTGAATGCCTCTGTCTATTGCCTGGAAATACCGTAATCCCCAGGCTATTGGACACTGTTGGAAATACCTCAAGGACTTAACGTTTCTGAAGTGTAACACCACACTCGAGGAAGATCGTAACGGGTATGCGAGTCAACGGAGGTTACACGAAGGGATGGACAAAGAACACGAAAGGACTCGAAGGGTCGCAGCCGGAGGTTGCGACTGACCGTTACAACTGCAAGGATGGTAACCGGAGCGACAATCGAGTCGCTGTGCGACTCGATAACCGCTCTTCAACTGTATTCTACAACTGCTTTACTTTCCTACTTTCTATATATTGCTGTATGCTTGTTGTTTTTAATCAATCACTTGTTCTCACATACTACAACTACTCAACTTCCGCTGCACTACTCAAAGTCTCCTTTTACAACTGGGACTTAGTCTCTGGAAAGATCCTAAGGGCATTTCTCAGCCCAACATGGTATGAGAGCTGGTCAGAGACCAAACCCCCAGCAACTACGCTCCATCTACAATCAACACACCAACGACTTCATTCATTACAAGTTATGGACAGCAAGGGCAAGAAAACCTCTACGGGCCCACCCAGTGCCCAAGACACTCAACCCGGCAACTCTGGACTGCACACTTCAGGACTGCAAACCGAGACCGACGCAGCTCAAGAAACAACAGGAAGAGCACCAGAAATGGTGACCCCATCACCCTCTTCAAGCGTGGATCCGAACCTTATGGAAAGGTTCTTCAGCTTCATGTCGCACTTCGACCAGCAGCAGCAGACAAGGACACCTGCGCATTCAACACAGAGCAACGAAGGAAACATGGGATTATCGCCGATGAGCCTCGACAACTCATCATTCGGGCGACACAATCAAGCGCCTACCTTTGCGCCTTATCACTCTTCACCGGGGACGTTCGAGTTCATGCCGCCCCATGCCCAACCAACAGCAGCTGCATCACAACAGACACCAAACGAGATACTTAGTCTCCAGGCGCAGTTTTCACACGTGATCAAACTGCAGACATCCTCACCGTTCAACGGACACGACTTCTTTACCTGGAGTTTTGAGTTCGAGCTGCTGATGGAGGCCGCGCATCTCTTGGGATGCTTCAACGGGTCCCTGCCATTTCCAAGCAATGGCACTGCGAAAGAGCAAGAAATTTTTACATATCAGTCGCTGCTGGCGTACACAGTCCTCCTGCGGAACCTGTCACCACAAGAGCAGCAAAGCATCAGAACGTATCGGAGCTATGGAAACTCCGCGGAACTCGCATGGCATCACCTCATGTGTCTCTACCAAGCAAACGACAGCGCGACACAAAGCAGACTCATGCAGCAACTGACAACAGTACAGATGACGACCGGAGAAAAGGCGATGCAGTATATGAGTCGATGCCAGACACTCCGCGACCGCCTGCTTCGCTGCGGAGGAACAATCACTGAAGAAAGCTTCGTGACGCTTGTCCTCGCTGGGCTCGGGCCAGAATGGAGAACCACCCGCTCGCTCCTTCGCACCCACGGACGAATCTCGGAGATGCACCTCTGCGCCGAGCTCCATGCTGAACAACAGGAGATGGACCTGTTTGAAGAAAGACAACCAAGGAAGCAGCAACCGTTAGTCTTCTACACTCAACGAAGAAACGACAACAACTACAATCGACGCGGCAAGCAAGAGCAACGCGACAACAGAGGACTCACCATTGTGCCGCCGTTCTGCCACAACTGCCAAACATCCGGACACTCCAAAGTCAACTGCACACGTCCCCGAGCTTATCGTCCAGTAGACCCACAAGTCGCCTCCACTCAAGAAAGCCCACCGAGACGTTCCTCCTCATCTGCACAAGGCACACCAAACATCATCAATTGCATGATACACATCGACAGCTGCGCACCCGAATCACCACCCACTTACGCTCCAGACGAAGAAGAACTGCCGCCGCCACGCTCACAAGGACTTCAGGTTAACCCGACATACGCTGCAGTCGCCAACGCCGAACCCACCGGACGAAACACCTGGTTCTTGGATAGCTGCTGCGGTCAACACATGTGTTCTTCTGGGCGCTTCGTGCAACGAGAGCGACGCCTCAACCGTGATGTCATCATCACTGTCGCCAACAACGAGAACCTGAAAACAAACAGACAAGGCGTCGTTCAGCTTCAGTCAATGGAGACGAACGTCATACTCCAACTCAAGAAAGTTCTAATCGTCGACAACTTGGGATACAACTTACTCAGCGTCAGCCAGTTAATGGCAAAAGGTATTCACCTGGAATGCGACTCGGACACCAACAAATTTCGTCTTTACCACGGGAAGGGCGGTCTCTTCATCGGTCGCGCTCTCCTGAAGTCCGGCGTCTTCGTATTGGATTTCGTCCCCAACCGCGGTACTGCCGACAGCGATGGCATCGTGTCATTCGCAGCCTGGACGCACCCGCCGGATCTTGACCCCGACTTCACCCCAGATGGATACTGGTACTCCAACACCATACCTGCCGCAGAAAGAACACGAGCGTTAGCAGTCATCAAACAAGAAAGACAAGTACCAGCAATCGTCTCTTCCCAGACATCACATGCAGTAGCAGCAGCAGGACCCAGCCGAGTACCATCACCAGCAATCCGAGGACCGCCAACCGAAGCAGATCAACTTATGCCCATCACACGCGAAGTCTGCCGAAGTCCCACCACGGTCGTCGCGTTCTTCTCCAACGCCGACATGTACCAACGCTCGCCCGGCCATCGTGCCCCCGACGACATCTGGCACCAACGCCTTGGGCATCCTGCAAACAGCACGGTACTACAAACCATTCAAGCCGAAGTGTTAGAGAGAAACGCTCTTCTTACAACGAGCGGCCAAGAACTTCGACGACCACGCGCACGGTGCTTCACGTGTCCCGAAGCCGATCTTCCTCACCAACCTTTTCCATCACATCATAACCCAAGCGCACCTGCATACGCACCGATGGAAAAAGTTTACAGCGACATCTTAAACATGCCTCGAGACGACATTGAAGCCGACTCCAACTACGTCATCACGTTCATCGACGCAGCAACCAGATATGTCTGGCACTATAACCTCAAGACGCGCGATCAAGCTTTCGAAGCCTTCACGACGTGGCTCCCCATCGCTGAACGAGAATCAGGAACCAAGCTCAAGAGCTTCCAGTCAGATGGCGCACTGGAATACCAGTCACAACGATTCAGGAACTACTTGGCGGAAAGAGGAATCAGACGCCTGGTGTCTCTGCCCTACGCTCACCAGCAGCAGGGGGTCACAGTAAGAATGAACCGGACCTTGCAGACGACGATGCGGAAGCTGCTCCTGGGGATGAGACTGCCCAACACACTGTGGCCAGACGCGATAACCCATGCAGTCCACCTGCACAATTTGTTATCCTTGTCCCCGCTTCCCAACAACGCATCACCGCACCTGCTGTGGACACGAAAAAGGGGCAGCACAAAATTACTCCGGGTTTTCGGCTGCATGGTACAATACAGACCCCACACAGCCCGAGCAGGACGCTTCACTCAACGAGCACGGTGGGGATTACACCTCGGCATCGCAAAACATTTTCAAGCATGGAAAATCCTCGACATACAAGACAAAAATACCGTGGCATCACGTGATGTGATCTTCTATGAACGACTGACACTGCAGCATTACCTGGACAACGTCGCCAACACAGACGACCCCACCGAAGGTGTCGCAGGCCTTCGCTCCTTCGCCGACCGTGCTGCTGAGGCTGACGCAGCAGAAGAAGACGTCCCTGGAGCTTCAGAAGCTGCCGGACCACTCCCTTACTGTTCCGTGCCTGTTCCACTCGATGAAGACAATCCTCTCGATAGCAACAACCTCGACACCCTTTACCACTTCGCTGACCAAGGTTACGTTACACCTCACCCGGTCGACACAAATGTCTCAGAACGCATCGGCCCAAACTTCTTACCTGATCCAGAAGATGGTGACGAAGCAGCCTATTCGGGGAATGAAAATTCCCCTCGACACACACCCACGGGACTGCAGATACTCGGCTTATGGGTCTCCGTCCAGCATCCGCCGCCGCCGTCTCCGTACGAGCCAACGACCGTGTCGCAGGCTCTGGGGGGGGAACACAAGGCGAAATGGAAGGAAGCAATGGAAAAGGAACTAAAAGCTCTGCAAGACCGAAATACATGGAAGCTGGTACCTGCAACGAACATCAACGGGAAGAACGTTCTCTCGGGAAAGTGGGTGTACCGCATCAAGACCAATGCGGACGGCTCCATCGAATGATTCAAAGCTCGCTGGGTCGTACGAGGATTCGATCAACGATACGGAACCGACTACACAAAAACATTCGCCCCAGTCTCCCGTCACACCTCCTTGCGCATCCTACTCGCCGTCGCGGCCACGAAGAAACTACCACTGCGCCAGATCGACGTCACAAATGCTTTCCTGTACGCACCTGTGGACGCCGAGATCTTCGTTGAGCAGCCCCACGGATTCATCGACGACCCCACAAAAGAATGCCAACTGATAAAATCCCTTTACGGGATCAAGCAAGCCCCGCGACTTTGGCAGCAGCACCTTCACGGTCGCCTCGTCAGAATCGGATTCCTACAGCTCCCAGGTCGCGGCACCTTGCTTGTGTCGGTCCCTCACTCACCCGTCCCTTTTGTGGCACCACCGCCTAGGTCACCCTGCACTCCCGCGTCTGCGTCACATGTCCCAGCACAGTCTTGTCGTAGGCCTCCCCGCGTCGCTCCCCGCCTTTCCCCTCTCGCCTGCTCCACCGTGCACGCCCTGTGTCGAGGGCCGGCTCCGCCGTGCCCCTCACTCCTCCTCGCTTCGCCCTGCAACTGCTCCCCTTCAGACCCTGCACCTGGTCGTTTAGGGCCCAGCCCCCGTCCCCGGACCGCGTGGCGAGCGCTACTTTCTTGTGCTCGTCGACGACTACATGCGCTACACCACGGTGTTTCCCCTGGAGCGGAAGGCCGACCTGCCCGACGTTCTTCTCCCGTGGGTTGTGGCTGCGCGTCTTCACCGCGGTCTCCCCGTGTTGTGTCTCCACTCTGATCGTGGCGGCGAGTTCGCTTCT